CAGCTTTAGTTGTGGTCAACTAATTATTTTTATTGGTGCTCAGGGGTGTGGGAGAGTGTATACAGAATGGAAGATTACCTCTTTATCAGTTTTTTAAACATGAAAGGACCATAAACAATCCAAAGAAGAGCTTCTGCAGAATATAATGGTAGGTGTTGAACTTCGCTGGTTTATTGATTGTTTGCAGTGCTTTCGTTCTGTGTATGCCTCTTTCGACCAGTAGTTACGCTCTGTTGACTCCATCACTCATGCAAAAATCCTTTTCCTTTCAGGAGGGAAGAGCAATCGTTTGAACAATGAAGGAAAGCGAGGTTCTGTTTTATTCCCAGCTGTCACCGTACATATCTCACCGTTTCAAGAGGGAAGCGCAATTGTTGATTCAATAATAAGGACCATAGCAATGTTAGTCTTCTCTGCTCCTTCTCTATGCCACCCATCCATAATTTGGTCCTTGCAGGTCAACACTTCCACTCCTTTTTGCCTCACAGATTCTATGTTGGGATTTACAGATTTTGCTTCTTAACTTAAGTTCAGTACTAATGCTCTATCGTTGCTTTCAGTTACGGAAATAGGGATATGTTCTGCGAGATCGGGTAGGAGCAATGCAGCTGAAAGTTTCAAAGCAAAGATATTTTTATCAGTGGATGTATGGATCACTATTTGGGGAAAAGGTACAGCCTGGTGGGAACGATTGCTGTATGTGGGAACTTTCAGCCAATGTATAACTCTGAAGAAACCAAAAAAGGTAACGATCTCTTCGCTAACTTCCAGTTGATTGATCTAGCGAGGTGATGCATAATGAATAAACTGTTTTGTTTGGAATTTGCTCAAACAATCAAAATGGCTAAGTATTATCTTATATCTACTTATGCCATTACTCTCTTTAGATTTCATTACAATGAAGTCTTATAGATATTATGATATGGGATCGACATGCCAGTGACTCTCCTTCAGCACTCGGTTTTCATTGGAATGAGATTTTGCTATGTTATGTTATTACTCTACACTGTTGTACTGCTAAGACATGAGCTAGAAGCTTTCATTATCAAAGCTTACAATCATTAGAGTAGTTTGCAGAGTTGATTTGGTTTCGGGATGAACAATTGTTTATAGATGATTTTATGAAGTTTGTTCTGCTGCTTTGGATCATTGAGTTTTTTCATGAAATTTAGCCTTTTATTTTTTGGAATTAGCTATTATGCGGTTTAGAAAGTACTCACCTCTGCGATGGATACTTAGGTTGATGTGCTTTGTGCAAAGGGCTGCCATGAGAGGAGATGTGAATCGTGGATCTTAACTAGATGGCTTTCTTGCTTCACTTTGTTGCAGGGTGTGGGGTGTCCTCTCCTCGATCCTTATTTGGCTGCATGCTATTTTGATTCAAGCTATATGATTGTGTTTTTTTCATGTGGTTTGCAGGTATGCAGTTGAGGAGTTATGGGCTGAACTGTGTCATCTTATCCTGGTTGCAACGTATGAATTGGTGAGATTTCTAGCCTGCAAACAATATAAATTTCTTAGCATTCTGTAATTGTATGGAAATAGAAGTTTAATGCCTATTATGGAATCTCAGAGTAGAGGAAAAAAGAAAGTTTCAAAAACTGTTACTTGTTTTGCTTTTTCTGTCCAAAGGGAGACTTTTTATTACTTATCCATTCTTTCTTCCTCATGTCTAATCCCCAATTCCTCTCTCCATCTTTCTAGATCTGCTTTCTCTCTCCTCTCTTTTGTGCTGAACAACGAAGAAGAAGCAAGGTGAAGAAGAAGAAAAGGAAGATCGAGACTTGGGTGAAGCAGAACATGGAGGAGATGAAAAGTGGCCAAGTATTCACTCTTAAATTGTTAGGATTCTGCAATTGAAAGCATTAAGCTAAACTAAAATGGAATCGATTTTGGGATAGAGTTGCTTAAGACTAGAGCATTTGATGTGTGTGTCTCTCTGACCTGAAACTGTATTTGTCTAGCAGGTATTACCCATCGTTCGATGGACTTTATCAACCTATAAAACAGGAAAAACCTCACACTTGAAGCATTGTTGGTTGCTCCCCAACAATTAATACTGCATTTTATTACATGCTTTTATTCATCATGTAATCTCCCGCTATGTAGCCTTTTTAATATAGCCTTAAGTAAAAAGAACAGTTCAGTTTTCATTAGCCACATCCAATAACTGGTGATGGCCAACAAGGAGCAAAGAAATTATTCCATTTTCATTCTATTCTCCTCAAAGCTTGAATAGTGCACAACTTTAACCGCTTTTGCTATGGAGTTCCTACTTATAGTATTTCATGCTTAGATTCTTATTTTCCATTATCTTTCTGTCAGTATTAGTTCTTTGTTTTTGCTACTTTTTTGTTAACCCCATCTTCAAGCTTCAACTTTTTAGCTTTTCTGTCAATGACAAAATTTGCAACCTTAGATTTGTTCCTTTGATTTGCCAGTTTATCCTTTAGATGGTGTACTCGAATGAATTGTATGCTGCACTTTTGTTAATGATCTACGGTAGGATATAAATAAACAAAACTAAATACTTGCACTAAGATGTATTTCAAATGGTAGAGCGGTGCATATGGGAGATACATTTCTGGTTTCCTGTAACTTTTAACTTTGTTACTGACATGTTCTACAATTCCCAGACCTCTATTATAATTTCTTTACATAGTCTAATTGATTTATTTTAAAATTATTTAATTATCCTAACATGAGGCATCGTTGACAACACCAATGCAGAAACGAAGTCATCTATGGAATCAAGAGTGACACGGGAAGGAATGTTGAGGGCCTATACAGAACGAAGTTGGTGGATGCTTTTATTGCACTATAAGGGGTATTGGAATCAACGAGGTCGATGACAGTATTAGGACAAGGAAGCCTCTCTTTCTCTATTGGAATCGAAAAAGAAAAAAAAGGACTCCGCTCATCCTCTCTGAATCGACAAACTCGGGTGGTTTCGTTTCGGTTAGGTTTTACATTATGTTTTTTCTCACGTCAGATTTGGTGCTTTCTTGCTGCTCAATTCAGATCTTAACTCTCTCAACTGTTGCCTAAACCTTCCCTCTAGGTTACTTGAGGTTTGATTTTAAATATAGAGCAGCTCTCAATGATTGAATTTTTAAGATCCTATAGGTATTTATTTGGCATATGAAAGGTTGAGTGAGGAAATGTTTGGTTTTGTTGGATCTTTAGTAGTTGTTCCAGTTTATCGTTTTCGACTCTTGAGGAATGATGTGCGCATGTGCGCTTTTATTTTGGTTTCGATTAGTTTTAATCTCTGCCTACCAATGTTTGTTTACAGATCGATTTTCATTTGGTTGTCGCTTTAATGGGAAGTGGCAGTGAAACGTGGTGGTGATGGTGCATATGTTGAATTTTAATCACCGTTTATAAATTGTAAGGTGTGTTTTTTATAACTTGGTCCTAGAGCCAAACCGTGTTAGTTTTGTGAAACTGAATTTCTTTTTTATTAGTAAGATATTGCCTTGCATATAAAGACAGGTTTATGATTGTTACTGCTACTCATTCTGTAAGTTGAATTGCTATAGTTGTTTCAATCAGTTTTTTTGCGGCCAACTGTTGGCTCCATGGAACTTGCCCTCTCCTATCCATTTATGTCTATGTATGGCATACATATGATGTTTGATCAGTCCATTTGACTGACTTTTAGTGGGAATTTATTGTTCTTACAACATTTTGTGATGGATTTCTAACTAAAATTTGCAATTGCTTTCTAGGAAATTCAATTCGCACCAGCTGGAGTTCAATCTATTACGGATGGGTTCATCCATTTCACACTCTTAGATTTCTTGGTTTCTATGTATTAGTGTATCCAATGTTGTTTGTAACGTGTAATAGGTGATTGTCAAGGGAGTTGTTGAGGATAGCTACATGCATGATCTTATTTGAATATCGATTGATAATGTCAGTTAGTATGTTTTTCAATTCATTCTAACTCATAAATCCAGAGTTACTGTCCACTAGCCAAAATTGTAGTCGGTCAAATAAGGTGTGTGCTTCAAGTGCCGCAATTCTGCCCAACCAGTGTATTATGATTTGCTTGATTAAGAGCCTCAAATGTTCCTTTTATCATTTTCCATCCATTTCGCTGTCAGGTTTGCATGATATGCCTTTTTTTGCTATCATTGTTATGCGAAGCAACGCGAGCGGGTTTACCAAGAGAAGAGGTGACACCCTGTTCCACCTTCTCTAGGTCTACCTACGCAAAAAAACAATGATACCAAAATTTATTAGGGGTCAAAAAACTTCTACTGCATCAGTCTGGGAACAAATGTTAACAGGCAAGACTCTTGCCGTCACCTATCCACCATATTGCCTCAGCTCTTCTGGGTACTTGCATAACATGTGATCCTGCTTTTCAACCCTTCTGGCTCCTTAAGTAGCACTCCTTTTATATTGCAATTTTAAGGGGAAAATGTCAACATCTCCACCATTTTCAACAAGCATTTACATAACTTTCAGTTGCCCCACCATCACCGATTGGCACTCTTTTACATCACATTCAATGCAAAACTGCACAATATCTAAATTGTATTTCCCCAATTAATCAATCTGACAGCGACCAATATGTACTGCTGCTTTAGTATGGCAACACCCGCTTTGCAATTCATAATAACATTATGTGCCTAATGTTTATTTCCAGTGCAAAGTTTACAGATGTACAAATCATCCTGTTTTTTCTTAGATCGCATGTTCTCTACTCAATCTACTCATGGACGCACAAATATGTCAGTTTCCAAAGCAAACTCCACATTTTCCCAATACGATCTCCCCGCCGCGGAGCGCGGGTTTCCTTACTAGTTTCTCATCAAATCATATGTTCCCATACGCATGCATGACCTCTCAAACCCAAAAACGCACATAAACCCATCAAGAACCAGAGACCATATATACCTCATTCCCCTCCTCTCTTCACTTCAAATTATCTCAAAGCAAGAGCGAAGAAGAAGAACAGAGACTCAGAGAGAACCATCTGAAATTGGGAGCAACAATGGAGTCCAGTTCCAAGAACTACAGCTATTACGCTTGCGAAGGAGAAGTAACAACAGAAGGGGAACAAGATGAGAAGTGGGCGCACTTGATCGTATACGCAGCAGCAGGCGGAACCACCGTAGCATTGGCGTGCGCGAAGAGGTTGGGAGCTATGTTGCTGATGATGGAGCGATGGCGGGTTCAAGTTTTCCTCCTTCTCAACTTCCTCCTCTTGGCAATCTTCCTCACTTCCCTCCGCTCCACCTCCCCTGCTTCGATTCCTCCAAAACCCAGACAGCAAAAACAGAGCTGCGGCGGGAGGTCCGAATCTGAACCTTGTTCGGAGATTCGAGTAGCTGAGATCAGAGAAACAGAGAGCAAGGAGAGCTCTGGAGTTGTAAAAGAGAAGCTCGAGAATGAATTGTCAGAAGGGGACGATGGAGAGAAGTTGACGAAGGAGGAACTGAACGAGAGAGCTGAAGCGTTTATCGCCAAGTTCAGGGAGCATTTGGTTAGAGATGCTGCCTGCGGTTGCCATTAACTGAAGAATGGCAGAGTGGGAGAAAACTGCATTTTGGTTAACTTGTAAGCAGAATTGCATCAACGTAACCGAAAAGGGATCAAACTCCGAACCACAAATTCATTTTTGTTTGTCATGTCCTTTTCTTCTTCTGCAAAATGTTCATTTCTTGCTAAATCATGTTGCGACTTATTGTGATCGTAACATCAAATTATATTGACAAAAACGAGAAAAGAAAATAAGATTTGTGCATCAACAATGAGTTTCACTGCTTATTTAATACCGTTGGATTACAAGTTCGTTGGTCCATGGGATCATAATTCCCTCTGCAATAAACTCGATTAGAGTGGGATGGGGAGAGATTGTGCATAGCTAGAGAAGGCCTTTTTGCTGGAAGCTAATGATGCAGTCATCAAACATCTGTTCCAAGGTCTTGAAAGGAGGGAAACCCAGTTGAGCAATCTTGCTAGTGTCCATGCTGTGCGGGTTGCTGTCTCCTTTCTGGGCCGACAACCTGGGCCCAAACACACAAGATTTTTTTTGGAAATTTCAGCAATGCATGACTCCTCAAGTATCTACCTTAAACTGGGCCTAGAAATGGGCTTTTCTACTCACTTGGACTCGTAAGGATAGTCCGGATATTTGGGCCTGAGCATGTCAATGACCTCCGACCAGTGAGCTACGGAGCCTGATACAACCAGTCTCCCAGAGGCTCTGGTGTCCTCCATGGCCAAGACGTGGGCTGCTACCACGTCATCTATGTGCACAAATCCCAACGCTGTGTTTGGAAGCTCCCCTCGCAAACCTATTCATGACCAAAATGTTGGCAAGAATCAGCTACAGAGTCCTCCAATTGGCATAATAATATGGGAATAAGACCTAATCTTTGATATTAAATCACAATGAACCTTTGATAATCGCAAGGACGAGCAGGAGGGTGCTGGTGGGCTTGGGCCCAAGCAATGGGCCCACGACGAAAGAAGGGTTGACCACCACTAGGTCGATGCCATGCTCCTCGGCGATCCTCCATGCTTCTTTCTCAGCACTCGTCTTCGCGAATGCATACCATAGCTGTACGTCAAGAAGCAGGATTAACTCACGCTAACAGAGAATTTTATTTACACTAAATACTATGTTAATTTAATAAATTATAATATAATACAATACAATACATTGTATCGCTTGCAGTAGTCGAGGTCAGTCCAGTTGGACTCGTCGAGAGGGGAGGCTGCCTGCGCATCGAAACGGTATCGTATGGAGGAGCAGGATGACGTCAAGACCACCCGCTTCACCGTCTGGGATTTGGAGCATGACCTCAGCACGTTCAGCGTGCCCTTTATGCATGGATCGATCAGGCTCTCCTGGATGTTGTCGTCGTACGGGACGAGCACCGGCGAAGCGGTGTGGAAGACGCCGTCGACGCCTCGGACGGCGTCGTCAAAGCTTTCAGGGACCAGCAAATCGGCTTTCACCAGCTTCAGCCGCTCTTTCGCTCCCTCCAGCTCCCACAGAAACCCAACTTTGTCTTCATCCCCTGAACGTACGTACGACGACATATATGTATAGTGTTCAAAGCTGACGATTTGAGACTTGGCCGGCGGGGTAGGATTACCTGGGTCGCGGACGGTGGCTCTAACGGTGTGGCCGTGTTGAAGCAACGACTTGATCAAGTAGGCGGCGATGAAGCCAGTCCCACCGGTTACGCAGTACTCTTGTTTTCCCATCCTCACTCCTCCAGCTCTTTCTCTCTGTATTTCTGGTAATTACTTTTAAGAAAACTTTAATGACTGACTTAACTATATCAGGGCGGTTTATGCTGGTATAACATTGGTCGTTGTTTGTTTGTTGTAAAAGCCGATAACACAATGACAAATTTAAGGGGGGAAAATAAAAGAAAGCTTGGTAGATGATTTTTAGGTGGCTTTTTCTTTTTTGTATGTTTTCTTTGCCATGGATTTCAGGTGGCTTTTGTACTTTTGTTCCCTTTTGAATTTTCTTGCAATAGAAGTTGTTGTCACCATTCATAAACGAGCTGGGTAGATGATTCATGCAATAGGTGATTGTATTTGTTCTGTATATTTTAACCAATTTTTTCCCCTCAATTTTCTTTCTTGTATGGCTCAGTTACTGAGTTACTACTTAATGGTCACTAAAATGTAGAGTTGGTGGCAATATGACCGCTCAATAGCCATCGATTTTTAAAAAAAATCACTTTATCACTATCAACTTTTTTGTCAAAATTTGTGATTTAAATCACTTAAATGAAATAAAAAGTTCATAGAAACCATCTAATATGCTACCAGGTAAGAATGAAGGAAGGATCAAGGATGGCTCTGAGATAATATGGGTTGACATCAGATTGACTAATCAAATACTTTAATTGATCAAGAGTAATTAAAAATAGAGCGTAAATATATATCGACTTATTAGAATTTATCTGCCTTTAGTGACCCATGCAGCCATGTGGATGTTAATCGAGACAAAGAGTTAATCGAAACGAGTGCGATAGGGACGAGATTTACGTGGTTTCCTTGTTCTTTGCAGAACAAGACTAGTCCACGGTCAAGCTAGCTCTTCTCTTATTTCTCATAGCTCAACACTGTACACTAATGGTACATATATACAAAGGGTTTGATTAACCCTAATCACCTCATTCGGCCATTATCATGGGCCGAACTCGGTATGGGCCGAAGCCCTACAATTCATCTCTCAACAGCCTCCCCCAAATTGATGGGGAGTTCTCAACAGCAATTTGCCCGACAGAAAGAAATGGCGACTAGCTGAAAACGACTTGGTGAACAAATCTGCTATCTGGTCCTCGGAGGAGATATACGAGATGCGAATAGTACCATCTCGAACAAGATTCCTGATGTAATGAATATGTACCTCAATGTGCTTGGTCCGATCGTGCATAACTGGATTCGTAGCGATACGTATGGCACTAGTATTATCAACATAAAGTTCCAAAGGTCTAGCACACTGTACTCCGAGATCACCTAGCAATCTCTGCAACCATTCAAGCTCCGATGTGACCTCAGACATAGCTCTGTACTCAGCCTCAGTAGAGGATTTTGACACTCGATCCTGCTTCTTGCACCGCCAAGAGATAAAAGAGCTTCCCAACCTGATACACCAGCCCGAAGTAGATTTACGAGTGTCAATACACCCTGCATAATCTGAATCTGAGAATGCCTGAAGAGCCAATGACCCAGATGATGGAAGAAATAAACCAACATCTGTGGTACCCCGTAGATATCGTAATATCCGATGCACTGCATCCATATGTGCTGTCCTAGGAGCTGCCATAAACTGACTAACAACCTGTACTGCATATGCAATATCTGGTCGTGTAGATGTAAGATAGATGAGACTCCCAACTATACTCCGGTACTGCTTCCCCCCGTCTTTCAAGAGATCTCCAGTATCCCGACTGAGCTTCAAATTGAGCTCCATAGGTGTTGAGACTGGCACACTGTCCGTGTAACGAGATGTGTCAAGTAAATCCTCAATATACTTCTTCTGACTTAGTAAGATACCTGCAGGTGATCGAGTGACTTCCAAGCCAAGATAGTAGGACAGGGACCCAAGCTCCTTAAGGTTGAAAGATGCATGGAGACCTTTCGTGAGAGCATCAATCCCTATAGTATCATCTCCAGTCACAATCATATCATCTACATATAGGAGGAGCACAACCAGACCACGTGAAGTATGCCGAGTGAACAGTGATGGGTCATTCAGACTCTGAATAAACCCAAGATCAAGAATAGTAGACTGAAATTTATCAAACCAGGCACGCGGTGCCTCTTTTAACCCATAGATAGACCGATGGAGAAGACAGACCTGACCAGGAGTGCCAAAGGAGTACCCAGGAGGGGGTTCCATGTAAACTGTCTCCTTGAGTTCGCCATGCAGAAATGCATTTTTAACATCTAGTTGATAGAGAGGCCATCCTCGAATAGAAGCAACTGCAAGTAAAGATCGAACCGTGACCATCTTTGCTACAGGAGCAAAGGTCTCCTCAAAATCAATGCCATACTCTTGGGTAAACCCCTGAGCAACAACCCTCGCCTTGAATCGCTCAATTGTACCATCTGGGAGAACCTTGATTGCATAGACCCACTTACTACCGACAACAGGTATCTCAGGAGGCGGACGATCAACCATTTCCCATGTATTGTTGGCATGAAGAGCTGAAATTTCATCTGTCATAGCCCCGTCCCAGCGAGGATCACCGACAGCCTGGGAGTATTTCGTGGGAATCTTGATCGGGTCTACCTGAAAGGAAACATAGTCACGGTAATATATAGGTGGGCAGCCTTGGGTCGATCTCTGTGACCGCCGAAGCTGCAAGGGCTCAGGCGGAGGGGAAGGTGGTGGAGACGGAGCAGCTGAGGTCGAGGACGAGCCGGAGAGGGAGCTGGGAGGCGTCGGAGGTGATGGGACGGGAGACGGAGAAGCTGGGGACAAGGGTAGTGGGCTGTCCGGGGGATCCATGTCTGGGGCTGCATCATCATCATCATCAGGAAAAACAGGTAGAGGAAGATGGACATCAAACAAGGGAGATGACTCAGTGGAAGGAGAGTAGTACATGAGGTTTTCAAAGAACACGACATTACATGCAATACGAATACGACGAAGTGAAGAATCATAGCATAAATAACCTTTATGGATGTCACTGTACCCAAGAAACGCACAGCGAACAGTTTTGGAAGTCAATTTTGTACGTTCTGCTCGGGGAAGAAGAACAAAGCAGAGACATCCAAAAACACGAAGACTAGAGTATGGAGGCTGTTTTCCATAGAGTCGAAAATAGGGGCTGACTTGACCTAAGACCGGGGTAATCTGATAGTTAATAAGACGAACTGCTGTGGAGACAGTTTCTGGCCAGAAATAGGAGGGAACATGAGAAGCTAGAAGTAAAGCACGAGTTACCTCAAGGACATGTCTATTTTTGCGCTCAACAAGGCCATTCTGTTGGGAGACACCGGGACAGGATTTTTGAGTGAGAATACCAAGACTCTTGTACAAGTCAAGAAGTGGAGTGGAACTGAATTCCCCACCGGGATCGGATCGAACTACACGAACTGTCTTACTAAACTGAGTCTGAATCATCTTTATAAATTCAGTAGCAATGGCTAAGAGATCAGATTTTAGTCTCAGAAAATAGACCCACGTAAACCGAGTGGCATGATCAATAAACAGTGCAAAATACTTGTAACCATTGCGAGAAGTTATAGAACTAGGCCCCCACAAGTCGGTATGAATTAAATGAAACGGTTCAGTGATGACAGTTTGACTTGACGGAAAGGAAATTCTAGTCGTCTTAGCCTCCACACAACTAGTACAAGAAAAATCCGACGAATGTGCAACTTTAGAACCAAAAAGATGTTGTTTGAACATGGTACTAAGGCGTGCAGAATTGGGATGACCCAATCGAGCATGCCACAAGTGAAATTGACGATCACCTAGACTCGAGAAGACCGGAAGGGACAATGACCTAGACACCGAAGGATGACATGATGATGATGACTGCAGTTCTTCAAGCTGATCGAGATGAAATATGCGCCCATGTTTACTACCCTTGCCGATCTCCCGCCCCGTCGTCAGATCCTGCACAGAACAGCCAGAAGGTGCAAACACAACCCGACAACCATGCTCAGTTAATTGTCCAACAGAAACCAGGTTAGGAACAAGTTTCGGCACAAATAAAGTGTCAGATAATGATAGTGCCGGAGTTTGAGCACTCCCTACTCCTGCAACAGGTAAACGTGCGCCATTTGCTACTTGTAGAGATAAGTCATTAACAGGACGAACATTCGATAGCAGCGGTTCTTGGCTGGTCATGTGATTAAAACAAGCTGAATCGAGAATCCAAGGCGATCGTTTACCTGAGACCTGAAGACTTGCAAAGGCGGACGATATGGCTTTATTCACTAGTTGCTCAAGAGCCGTCGGAGAGACCAGAATGCCCTCATGTCCAGCAGCCGAGGTGTCAGCTGGCGGTGGTGCAGCCTGCGTGACATATGCTGGCCGAGTGTTGCCGCTGGGTGGAGGACGAGTTCCAGCTCCTTGGGCGCGCTGCTGTAGGGTAGGACAGTCGGGAACAATATGTCCCGTCTGTTTACAGTACACACAAATATTGCGTCGGCGGCAGTATTTCTTGGTGTGGCCCTTTGCATGGCAATGGTGACACTCCACCTCACGTCGTTGTTGAGCACGGTATGCAGCATATGCTGTATCATCAAGAGCACCAGAATTTTCAGGAACACCAGAGCTGGGAATGGACGAATTACCAGAGAGAGGAACGCCAGCAGCAGGAGGTTGAGGCCTGGAGGATCCGCGCGCCACTGCAAAGGCTCCTGCCTCGCCGTGACCAGGTCGAGCATCGAGCGATGCTTGCGTGCGGAGTCTGGTTTCCTCACGGATCAAGTCCCCAAGGACATGTTCAAATTGCAGCTGAGCCCTATTCAACAACGTGGCACGAACAGCTTCATACTCGGGTCGGAGGCGCGCCAAAAATTGGAGCAGCCGTGTCTTGTTGCGTTCAGCCCTTACCTCCGCCGAAGCCTGACCAGAAAGCAGCTGGGCGCCCAGCAGATCCTGCTCGGTCCATAAGAGGCGAGCATCATTGTAGTACGTGGTCACGTCCTTCTCGCCCTGGTGGAGCTGCGACAGTTCCACCTCAATCTCGAACTGACGGGCGACGCTAGTCGTGGCGTACGTGTCCCGAAGTGATTTCCACATCTCGGCTGCAGTTGGGAGAAGACGAAGTCCCAAGACAATGGAGGGATCAACCGTCTTGAGCAGCCAGGAGCGTACCTTGGCATCAGACTGATGCCACTTCGCCTTCTCAAGATCGGAACCATCAGG